GTGTGTGTGTGTGTGTGTGTTTTACCCGCCTCTGCTGGCGTGCAGGCTGGCACTTTTTTTATGTCGGACATAGCGGCAGGGCTTTTGGATATAGCGGCAGGGAGACTTTTGCCTCTAGCGCCGGGGCGGCTTTGGTTCCATCCAGCATTGATTCTTTGAAGCTTTCCATTCTTTGAAGCTTTTTCTGCTTTTAAAGTCTTCCGTTGGTCTAAGGAAGTTTTTCCTCTATGGCGGACACAGCGCCGGGGCTTTTGGATGTCCAAAAGCCCCAGCGCTGTGTCAGCCATTAGAGGCGGGATGCGTCCCGCCCCTATGGCGTACATAGCGCCAGAGCGGCCAAAAGCCTCTTTGTTGAAAGCAGCCAAAAGCCGCTTTCTTTCTTTTTGCCTCACCAGCCATAAACCTCACCGCACGTCACTATTTTGGGCTCAATTATGATTGTAAATTGAGGACTACCTCTACATTGCTCATATATATTCAGACGCAAGTAAACGTGAAAACAGAAATACACATATACACAAGCCAGGAGATAAAGAAGAAAGTTTAACAGTGAAACTACAAAAGTTGTGGAGGTACATTCTGTGAAAGAACAAAAAAAAAATAATGAAGGAAATCTTTGTACCTGTCCAGAGAGGCCCAGGAGATACAGTAAACTCTTGAAGCATTAAGAAAAACTAACTTACCACTGAATCAAGAAACTTAATACAGCATTCCAGCTCCAGACGAGTCTCACAGAACTGCCGAAAGAGATATCTTCCTATTGGTTGCTTGTCACATAAACTGTAGTAATCTCTCTCTGGAGGAAATAAGAAGAGAAGGAAGGAAAGTGAAACACTAGCGTGCTTTTTTTTACATCTGGTTCAGTTTGGGGAGGCTGGGTGTATGATTTAATTTTTTTTTAACCTTAAAAAAAATTAAACCAGTTATGAATGCTGCAAATTTAAAAAAACTCATAAAGTTATGGTACAGAAGTCAGTCAGTTTTTCCAGAGTATGGGATTTAATGGAACACCTTCCAAGAATTTTGATTTTACTTTATTTGATGCCATTAAAGGAAAAGGAGAAATGCATTGTTAAAAGTGCACGGATGAAAACTGTTGAAATCTATCTCAGAAGGGTTTNTCATCATGCATAAATACGTATATGAGGAAGGAGCATAATAGCAATAAATATACTTTTCAACTGTTTTGAATTTAAATCCATGGCGTCTCTATACAAGAAGGATCAGGCAGCTTGCACTACGAAAATCTCTACCTGATGAGACATGTACACTCAAAATACTCTTCAGCCTTAAAGGTCAACTGTCTGCTGAAATTTTGGAACAAACTTAGATGGACAGAAAAAAGCTAGAAATGAACACCCAAGTGGGATCACTGAAACTAGGCAGGATCCATATTAAAGGGAAACCAGTTTACCATATCCTATCTGCATATGTTCATTCATGTGTGTTAATGTGTTAATAATATGTTAATATTTACATTAGTTAAAATAATGTAGTTTTGATATTTTCAGTCTAAACATGGTTATAATTCCATGGATGTGTGAAAAGGATTCTCAAAGGTTAGAATCTCCCAGATAAATGCCAAGCCAGTTACTTCTTATTAATGACGGACAATGAACTTCAGCTCTGCAAAAATATACATTCAATGTGGTATGACATAATATAATAAATCATATTTGATAATTTGTTTTAAATGGCAAACTTTTAGCACTTTTAGCAATCTAGTGCTTTTGTGGGTACAGATTTTCCCACCTGTGAAAGATGTTACAGACCTATTTAAAAAGGGCAATTCACTATTTGAAGGCATTTTCTTTTGAAAAGGTGTCCAAAGTTTTATTTAAAAAGTATATGTAAAAAGAATAGCAGAAGTTTTGAAACTGTTCTTTAACTTACTATATTTCAAATAATTGATTTATTTCTATACATCTAAATGCAAATTTGACAACTTTGCCCTGCAGAATTCATGCTGAATCATCTTTATGAGAATAATTTTAGCTTTTAGGAAACATGGTAGAACTTCTTATTAAATTTACCAATGGTTGATTTGAATCTAGGACATGTTTAAGAGGAAAATATTCAGAAAAATGAAGATTTGTAAATATGGAGAAAATTACTTTCAAATATTCCCCACCACCACTCTGGATCCACACATTCCTTTTCTACATCCCTTCCAAAATATTATTGATCTAAAGGTCCATCCGTAAACTGGTGCCATCCAGATGTTCAGGACTTCACAGTAGTGTCCAAATCAAACCACTGTGACACCAGATGGACAATGATGCAACCTCACAAATGCCACAATTAAGTATTAGAATCAAGATGTCTGATTCAGGTATGGAAATTGTGACATTTGCGTGATTATGTCTGTGTGAACGTCCTATTCTTTGTCTATCCTCCCAACAGACACATTTATTTCATCTTCCAGGCATTATTGATCTTACTATCTAAGAATCAACAAACATCTCAGGGTTTATAATGTTCAAGAAGAGTTTTAAAGATTTTGGCTTTTCATCTTCATAAATTATATCTAGGGCACTCCACAGTTCATGAAATTAATGTAATTAATTAATGACGTTCTAAGATCATCACTGCTTTTTCAAAGAAGAAATACACACTTTGTGTTCAAATCTGAAGCTATTTCTGTCATCAGATCACATGGGAAGGACAAAGAAACTGGGGCAAACCTTCTGAAATTGCCTCTTCAAAGTGATTTGATGAAAGGCATTTCATGTGCACTAATGCATACACTACTCCTTCAAATATTTTACTTAGGTTCTTTAAAATGCGCAGCACTTCCAATAATAAGTAACTATCGATATGAAGACCACTGAAGTCAGAACAGGGATAGAGAACTGCATTCTTCAAAATGAAAAAGATATTTCCTTCAAAATGAAAAAGATTGAAAATCAGGCGTGTCAGATGCTACATTTTTTTCTATCCTGCTCTATCCTATGGAGTAGAGAGTTGGTCTCTGACAAGATGCCACTTGAACAGACTAGAAGCATTTGAAATGTAGATTTACAGGCAGCTGTTACGTATAAGTTGGATTAACAAAATCAGAAATGAGGAGGTGATAAGCCAGCTGGGAAAGCTAAGGGAAATCATCAAAACCATAAAAAAGTGAAAGTTGGAATATTTTGGGCATGTGATGCGACACCCAGGAAAATAACGGCATACTTCACTTAATGCTACAAGGAAAGATTGAAGGCAAATGAAGTCCAGGCAGAAGGAGAGCATCATGGCTTCAAAATCTAAGGCGATGGCTTGGACAAAACTCAGCAGCACTTTTTCATGTGGCTGTCTTCTGCCACACACCTCCCAGCGTCCGATAAGATCTCACAGGATGGGCCTTCTCCGGGTATCGTCGACTAGACAATGTCGTCTGGCGGCTCCTCAGGGGAGGGCCTTCTCTGTAGCTGCCCCGGCCCTATGGAACGATCTACCCCCAAGATCCGGACCTCCCCACTCTCTCGG